TTAAGAACAAAAATAGTTGCTTTTTGTCTACGTACAGCATATCACGTGTTCATAAAGTCTTTACTCTGAGTATCCAGTAGAAAAACATAAAACTTTATATGCTCGTGGTCACTTTTAAAATAATTTTTAACAATAATTTTTAACAAAACAGAAATATGTAAGGAAAAGTGTTTTTTCAACATAAATTTGGTATGGAGTCAAGTTGATCTAAAAATCTTAAATCTTGATGATTGTGTTGCTTGTTGTGACTCGCTGACAGGAGCGTAAACGGAGGAGGAGGTGGAGAAGGGGGAGGTGGAGGAGGAGGAGAAGTGGCACTTGTACCCATTAATGTAGAAACTAAACAGGGTTCATAGTTTTGTTTCCACTGAGCAGCCAGATTGTTTGACTTCAGGCTGCTGGCAAAGAGCCCACGTTACCTCCGCTGAGCTGTTTAGGTTTAAAGGGCGAGTCCGCTCAAAATCACAGGAGGCAGACACCTGTCCGTGCACTGTACTGAAATGTTAAAGCGTGTTACAACACTGGCCCAGTCCATAATGTTATGGCAGGTGTGTTTATGGTTCAGAACACCTGTCATGATCTCTCATCCCTGACGGTCCACGAAGAAGATTTCCCCTGTGATTTAAAACTGCTTTGAATCATGGGAGATGTTGTGGACGTGTTTTCTGACATCTGTAAAATCAGCTCACACAGAAAAGTTGTCACTTTTTTAATCTATGTGCTTGAATAGAAGGCAACTGGAATTTTATTTCTTGTTTCTTCAAGACCCCTTTCACCTCTTGTCTGAAAGACTTCATCACTTCTGGCCCCAACTGAGGTGAGTCTAAAGAAACATTTCAGATATGAGGTGAAATGTCTTCAGGAAACGAGAAATGAAGTCTTTTGCTTTTATCCAAACATGTTTGATCTCTAATGGCCTGAATGAATAAACACCAGTTACTAATTCTGGAGCTGAAACAGGACGTAGGTTTTCTCCTCAAAGGCTTGTTTTCTGTGATAAGATGTCAATTCCATTCAATTAGAGGTGTTATTATTAGACGTTATTAGTTTACAGAAACAGGGTAGATTTATCCTTGTTCAATTCAATTCAGTTTATTTATATAGCGCCATATTCACAACAAAGTTGTCTCAGGGCACTGAACAGAAACATTCACATACATAGAAAAGCCAATTATTGAAGTTCTCTTATCCAAGGAAGCAGCAGACCAGTTGAATCTTCACTTCATTGCAGTCTTTCTTCCTGAGCAAGCACAATGGCAACAGTGGAAAGGAAAAACTCAGTTTTAACAGGAAGGAACCTCCAGCAGAACCAGGCTCAGGACAAGCGGCCGTCTGTTGGTTGTTCCAGTCTTCAGATATTTTTTTCCTTCAGAGAACAAGCTTTACATATTTACCTTTTACCCCTCTACATCCAGACGTTTCTTTCCACAGTCACCTTTTCCAGCTCTTTTTGGGAGAACTCCTACATGTTCCCAAGCTTTCAAAGAGTCACTTCGGTGTGTCCTGGGTCTACCCCTGGTTCTCCTCACAGTTGAGCATGCCCAAAATAACTCCCTGAAGTGGTAAAAAGGGGGCATCCTTACCAGATGCCTAAAACATCTGTTTCCTCTGGATGTGGAGGAGCAGGAGGCAGCACGACGGCTCAGTGGTTAGCACTGTTGCCTCACAGCAAGAAGGTCCTGGGTTCAATCCCCGGTTGGACCTGGGGTCTTTCTGTGTGGAGTTTGCATGTTCTTCTCATGCTTGCGTGGGTTTTCTCTGGGTACTCCGGTTTCCTCCCACAGACCAAAAACATGCATGTTAGGCTGTCTTCAGGTCCAGGCCTCCTTTGCAAAAGAGATTGGTGATCTCAATGGGATTTGCCTGTTTAAATAAAGGTTAATAAATAAATAAATAAACAGCGGCTCTAACCTGAGTTTTTCCTGTATAACTCAACTTCTCACCCTTTTTCTAAGGGAGAGTCCAGCTACCCTGCGGAGAAAACATTTTGACTGCTTGTATCCACAAGCTCCTTCTTTCAGTCACTACCCAGAGTCTGTGGCCATAGGTGAGGGTGAACTCCTCCACTTGAGGCAGAACCTCACCCTCTACTCTGAGAGGGCAGTCCACCCTTTTCTCCCTGGGGACCATGGCTTCAGATTTAGAGGGGCTGATCCTCATCCGAGCTGCTTCACACTCAGCTGCAAACCACTCCAGTGAGAGCAGGAAATCACATCGAGATGATGCCAACAAGACTACATCATCTGCAAAGAGCATAGAAGGAATCCTGAGGCCACCAAACCGGACACCCTCCACCCCCTGGCTGCACCGAGAAATTCTGTCCATAAAAGTTATTAACAGAATCTGTGACAACGGGCAGCCCTGGCGGAGTCCAACTCCCACCCTGAAGAGGTCTGACTTACTGCTGGCAGTGAGAACCAAACTCTCCCACCACTTGTGTGAAGCCACTGAATGACCTATAGCAATGGACCCCCAATCCCATACTCACTCAGCACTCCCTACTGTACCTCAATAAACAAGGTTGAATGACTTTGCCAAGTTCACAAAACACATGTAGACTGGATGAGCAAACTCCCATGACCCCTCGAGGACCCTAGTGAGGGTAAAGAGCTGATCCAGTGTTCTACAGTTGGGAACATTGTGCGTGTATTGGTTTTCTTCATATGCGTCACTTGCCTCTCACAGCTCAAAGACACGAGTGTAAAGTGAACCGTTGGTTCTTATCCTCTTACAGATGGATGTGACTGTGAGGGTGGAGGCTTGTTTCTCTGAGACGTGTTCAAGGTTCAGCCCGTCTCTTGTCCTGAGACAGCTGAGATGGTCTGAGACCTCTGTGACCCTGAACAGGGCAGATTTAGAGAATGGATGGATGGACACTGACGTGAAGGAGAGAGTACAAATAAAATATCAATCATTCTTGGGTTTATGTGGATGTTTTTTTGCATTTAAAGATTTAGCCCATGACCACACCTCAATATGTTCTGTTTAATCCTTGTGCAATGCTATTAAACTTGCTGTCAGTAAATTCAGCTGGAGGTGCACTGCTTTATACTTTATTGCTGTATTCTTATATAAAACAGTACAGAAAACAGGAAACTAAGTAATTGTCCTGGAAGTAGAGAGCTGGTGGATACCAGAACAAAACACTAGCATTCAATAAACAGCAGCTACGACACAATATCAAAACCAAAAGTAGCTGCAGCACTGATGCAGAGGAGGGCAGAAATTAAAATAACAACTAAAACTGAATCTTCACTTGTTCCGGTTTACGCACGAGCTAGAGTTACTGTGGCAGCACATAGCTGCCACAGGAAGTTAGGTTTAAAATTCCCATGAGCCATTTCTTCAACAGTAAAGCGTTGATTCATGGGATTATTTATACGTTTGATACGCCTGTCAAAAGGCGGATGTGTTACAGTATGGTGTCCTTACGTACGTATGACCATAAACTTTCTCTTGTCCTACAAATAAATTCTGACCCGCTCAAGATAAGTCAACAAAACTTCATATATGTATCACCAGTGTGTCAAAGACACTTTTCATCACCCCAGCTTCAAGTCAAGATCACAAATCAAGGTCAAAGTTAAAACCAGGTCTTTGCTTGTTTCATCCATAACTTCAGATTTGTTTTAGATAATTTAATGAAACATGATGCACATTTGTACCACCACTATGCTGTGCGTCACATAATATTTTAATCATCCCAGCTTTAAAGTCAAGGTCACAAATCAAGGTCAATGTTTATACAAGGTCTTTACTTGTCTGTGCCATTGCTATAGATTGCTGTATAATAGTTTGTTGATGTGTTTATGCGCCACATGCGTTACTCTTGTTTTACATGTGGCAACTACAGTATTTTGGCAGATATACAAATAGTTTTAACTCAGTTGCACATATATCAAATAACTATTTTCTCTAAAATTCAATTCAGTTTATTTATATATCACCAAATCACAACAAAATTTACTCAGGGCACTTTACAGGAACATTCACATACGTGAAAGCCAATTAGTAAAAATTCTCTATCTAAGGAAGGAAGCCAGCAGATTGCGTTGAATCTTCTCTTGGTTGCAGTCCCCCGTCCCGAGCAAGCACAAAGGCAACAGTGGAAAGTAAAAACTCTTCACAGGAAGAAACCTCTAGCAGAACCAGACTCAGGACGAGCGGTCTTTTGCTTTGACCGGCTGGGTTTGAGAGGAACAGGAAGGAGAGACGAACGAAGACAGAATGACAGGTCCAGATGTGGGTGCAGGTGTACCCCCGTGTTGGAAGAAAGAAAGAAAATGTTAAGGAGATAAATAATTACAAATACAAAACAGGTAGAGAAGAATAAGTCAATTCAGCAGCAGAATGAAGAAATGTGGTCAGTTTGTCCTCCAGCAGTGTGAGCATATAGCAGCTTAACTAAGGGATAGCTCAGGAAACCCAAGCCAACTCTAACTATAGGATTTATCATAAAGGAAAGTCTTAAGCCCAGTCTTAAAACTGGACAGTGTGTCAGCCTCATGGACAGAAACTGGAAGTTGGTTCCACAAGAGAGGAGCCTAATAACTGGAAGATCTTCCTCCCATTCTGCTTTTGGAAACTCTAGGAACCACAACCACAACTACACCACACCACAACCTGTAGTCTGAGAGCAAAGTGCTCTGTTAGGAAAATATGTGAGAATATGATCTTGAATATAAGATGGAGCTAGGTTGTTGAGGGCTTTGTAGGTTAGAAGTACGTTTTTGAATTCAATTCTGGATTTGACAGGGAGCCAGTGGAGAGAAGCTAAAACTGGAGAGAGATGATCTCTCCCACTAACTCCAGTTAAGACTCTGGCAGCAGCATTTTGGATCAACTGAAGACGTTTTAAAGAGTATTTGGACACCCAGATAATAAACCATTGCAAAACCCTAACCCTAAAATAAATATTTATGGGGTTTATTTCACAGCAGTCAGTGTCTGTAACTAATCTTTCTTTTTTCTTTCTTCTCCCTCTTTTCCCTTGAACGCAGCGCTCCAAAATAGCAGTTTATGAGAAAATGTGGTCGTACATGAAATCGGCTGAACCCTCAGTGTTCGTCAAGACGACACCAGACGGGGTTTCCCGGGTGCGAAAGTCGAAGGGCAAGTTTGCCTTTCTTCTGGAGTCCACCATGAACGAGTACATCGAGCAGCGGAAGCCGTGCGACACCATGAAAGTGGGCGGAAACCTCGACTCGAAGGGCTACGGCGTGGCCACACCGAAAGGCTCAGCATTAAGGTGGGTGGGATAATATAACAATATCCTTCACATTGTTATAGTATTCCACCTACCCTGATGTTTCCTTTTGTCATTCTCTTCTTCCTCACTCTTTAATTCTGTTGTTTTTATTTCCAAGTGCTTCTCTAGGTGAACAGTATTATGGGTTATCTGACTTGCAGCACATTTTTCGTCCTGTCTTGTTATGTTTCTGCTTTCCTTACGTTATTTTTTCTTGAATTTCCTTGAAGTTCATGGTATATGACACATGTTGGGTTCATTTGAATGTCCGTGTGCATTTCCTCCTCCCTGATTGTCTGTTTAATTTCTCCTCCTTCCTCTTGTTCTCTGTGGCGCCCTTTTTTTCTGCATCACCTCTGAAATCTCATATTAATTTGCTAGTTAAAAAGCTGCTCTGTCACTTGTGATGAATGTAAAGCTGCATGCTGGATGTCTATTTAACTCAACAATGACAGAATGTCCCCTTCCCGCACACTTCAGTTATGAGAAAATGTAATCCTCCATGCCACCTCTCGAATATTTAACATTTTCTTTGCTGTAGAGCCTTCTTTACCCTTTCAAATTGTCCCCCCACCCCGTGCTACCCCTCTATGAACCATTGTTCTCTATCACTATTTCTCACTAATATTTGATTATTAGATTTCTCACGGACCTGTTCCTTTTCTTACAAGCTATGTTTTATCGTTTCAAGAAATGCTGTTAACCTGGCAGTGTTAAAACTGAATGAGCAAGGCCTCTTGGACAAATTGAAAAACAAATGGTGGTACGACAAGGGAGAGTGCGGCAGCGGGGGAGGTGACTCTAAGGTCAGCCTCGATGTCACCAAAGTCGGGTATCCTAGAACAGAGTAATCGGCAAGGCTGGCGTCACCTTTGAACAAGATTTATTTAAAAAGAAGAAGAAAATGTGTTTTAGCCATTTTTTGTTGCACAACTGGAATCAAGTGGGAACCCTTTTCTTGGCTAAGTAAAGTAAAAAAAAAAAAAAGTGATTTTTATGACGGATGAGTAGGAATTAAAGTGTCTGTGGCTGAGGTGTTGTTGACCTGTGGTTATGAAAGACAGAAACAGATTTCTCCTTTGTTTTTTATATCCACAGGCCACTAAAGAAGTTTTTTTGTGCTTATACCAACACCAGTGAATATTCTAATTACCCCCCGAAGTAAAAACTAAAATAAAAGCACTCTCTGATCCGCCACCTGAGAGTTAGGGAAGGCACGGGAGACAGCGTTGTCTTGAGGGGACTAAGCATTTCAGGCAAACGTGAGAATTCTAATGAGAGAATGACAAAAACTGGATATTTTTTTATTTATTTATGTTTGTCTAACATCCTCTCACCCAGCTCCAGTAAGTCCTTCATGTGCCCGCAGGCTTTATTGGAACAAGAAGCTTTGATTTGAACCCTCTAATGTTGGTCGGCTGTTTCCCAAGAAGTCTGCCGGTTTCGAACGGCGTAGAAATGTGAGACAATGCAGCTTTAGTTAATGTTTGTTTATAATAAAGAAGAAATTATTCATGTTCAGGGGAAATGTAAACCCTTAAACATTTGAAAACAGTTTCAGCTTTTCTGAGTGATTACCGTAATTTCGGAACTATTGAGCGCACCTGAATATAAGCCACGCCCTCAAAATTTAAAATTAAATAAAAAAATTGTACATATATAGGGCGCACTTGTGTATAAGCCGCAGGTGTCCGTGTTGTAACATGAAATATTTACACAGAAAAGCTTTTTTAAACTTTTAATTAAATATGTTTCATTAAATGTTTTTTTTCTGAACAGTGCTGGTAACACAGCTGATTAAAATAATAATAATAATGATACAGTAGCCTACCAGGAAGTCGATCGCTATCTTCATCTTGTGCCCTGAGATGACTTCTGTTGTGATTTGGTGCTATATAAAAAAACTGAATTGAAATCTTCCTCATGCGCACTGCCCCCATGAGCTTGTGCTCTTCATCACGTTTCCTCCCTCCCTGGAGACACAACGGGGAGGGGAGGAGAGAACAGGAGAGTGGGAGTCCTGGGACTCCCATTGTTTGGTAATTTCATTGGTCAGATTTATTTAACCTTTATTTATACAGGTAGTATCATTGAGTCATGAGGACCCACCCCCCCAGGAGAGACATGTATTGGACAGCTATGTGAGCCCCCGGGTGTGATGAGACTAAATGTTTTGGCGACATGAAGCTCGTTAGCCCGTCAAAAAACAAAAATCCATAAATGAGCTGCAGCATTGAATGAGACACAGGGGGTGGTAAAAGTAGCAGCTTATAGTCCGGAAATTACGGTAACTTTAATCTATATTATTTATGGCCTTGTTGTTTTTTGGTTGCATTGTCACACTTTCTATGTTGAGCTCAAAAGATGGTTTCACTTCTAGAAGAGGAGTTAGGAAGAAAGCAAAAGATATTAAATAATAATAATAAGGCTGTGAGCATGCATTGTACATTGCTGTGCAAAGGTTTTAAACAACCCTCCATTTTCACTTTGCTTCCAGGTGGACAGATTTTTCATGATCTTAAAGTGATCATCAGTTCTCCGGGCTTTCTGAAAATCTTTGAAAGTTTTTATTTGGACTTTGGCTGCACATTCACTCGTGACAGCACACCGAGCAGTGCGCACTTTAAAGATCAACAAATAGCCTAAACTAGCACAGCATCTGAAAATCATGTCTTTAAGAAAGAGAAAGTTCAGGCTCTTGACCAAAACTAACATGGAAAAAATACTATTTGTACTCATAACTACATTATGAAAAAATGCTAATTTTCATCCAGTTTGATGTAAATAAACTGCCTGGTCAACAAAAGGTCACACAATCTAATATTTTCCATCAAAATATTTGTGTGTGACCTCCTTTAGCAGTTAGCTTTGATTAATTCAATTCAGTTCAGTTTATTTAGATAGCACCAAGTCAAAACAGAAGTTATCTCAGGTCACTGAACAGAAACATTCATATATATATATATATATATATATATATATATATATATAAAATAATAATTTAACACTATTTATCTGAGGCATAGACTGCCTTGAGTTTAACTCCGTCACAGACTCTCATCTTGAGCAAGCATGATGGCGACAGTGGAAAGTAAAAACTTCCTCATGAGGAAGAAACCTTTAGCAGAACCAGGCTCAGGACAAGTGGCATCTGCTTCAACCGGCTGGGTTTGAGAGGAATAGATAAACAATGGCAGGTCAAGAATCACATGTTAAGATAGAAATAATATTAAATGAAAAATATTCAATTTTAACAATTAATTTAAGGAAATGAGGTCAATTTGTCCTCTAGCAGTATAAGATTAAGACAGCACAACAAGCTGACCATAACTATAGGATTTATCAAAAGGAAAGTCTTAAGTCCAGTCTTAAAACTGGACAATGTGTCAGCATCACGGACAGAAACTGGAAGTTGGTTCCACAAGAGAGGAGCCTGATAACTGAAAGATCTTCCTCCCATTCTGCATTTAGAAACTCTAGGAACCACAAGTAAACCTGCAGTCTGACAACAAAGTGTTCTGTTAGGAAAATATGGGACCATAAGATTTCAAATATAAGATGGAGCTAGGTTGTTGAGAACTTTGTAGGTTAGAAGTAAAATTTTGAATTCAATTCTGAATTTGACAGGGAGCCAGTGAGAGAAGCGAAAACTGGAGAGAGATGATCTCTCCCACTAACTCATCCTTTGGACACACAATGTCGCTGAACCTCAACCGGACCAACAGTCAGCTCTTTGGGTTGTCTGGTGTGTGTCGCCTCATATCAGTCTTTATGTCTAATTGATTAATTGGCCAGACTTAAGTGAGTTAAACAAACAAAAAAATCCTCTCAAAGTCAAACTGGGTGTGTAAAAGCTGCTGAACTAAAGAAAAACTTCAGAAAACCTGAACAAATGATGAAGACCACTTTAAAATATTTCTGCGTGCTTAAACCAAACATTAAAAAAGAGTGGCTCAAGACTTTTGCACAGTACTGTATGTGGCAGCACAGCGCAGTATATTTCAATTTTCAGCATCTGTTCTCAGCTCCAAGGAGCATTTCAGATCCTTTATTCCCACATCAGTGCTGGTGACATTTTGACTTGAATGAAAGTTTGTCCTGTTCGTGCCTGAGGCCCCTGATCTTTAGTTTCAGACCTCAGGGTGAAGTCTGGCTCCACCTGCATCATGACACTAGAGGGGGGAGGCCGGTCCAGATTTGATGTTATTACCTCTGGACATCCATTCCTGAGTGAGCAGGTTGTGGATCCCACCAGAGGAGTAACACAAAGAAGGCTTCTCCTCTCGCTGCCGGTTCGCCTCGGTGCTTTTAGGTCCAGTTAGAGAGTCACGCCTGACTGCCACGTTTCTTTGAGCTTATTTCAGCGTCAGACAAGCACGTGTGTGTAATTTACCCAAGAAATGGAAATATATTGTACGTAATGACCACTGAGATAAAACATTTAAAAAGAAATGTTAAACGCTCTGAGGTTGATATTAATGAACTTATAATCAAATCTGCCAGACATTTACATCAGGTGGACCTGGACCATTGAAAACATTTTGTTCATATTTCATCTCATCGTTTGTGATTATGTGTTGGTCCTGTCAGTGCGCACGTTGCCGCATCTTTTTCCCATTTTTCAGACAAAGTCGTGTTTGAAGGCGTGCAGTAAACGTGTAAAATCAGCACAGCTACAAATTTATCATGTGTGCAGTGGACTGAAGAGGTGCATCCACAGATTTTTAGTCCATCTTGCACATAAAATCTAGAACTTAGTGAAATTTCACAAATGTTGGCTCAGTTCTCCACATCTGGTTTGTTTACTTCAGATCACATGTATGATGGTTGCACAACTTGTGAACTTGTAACTTTGATTTCTGCACGTGTAGAAAACAAATTAAAACTTTTTTTTTGCAGGAGAAATTTTAAATACACGTGCACAAATCAAAGTTACAAGTTTGCAGGTTTTGCAACACATCTACCTTCAAACAGCTGTTCCTAGACCTTTTTTAGCCTTTAATTAAAGCTGTAGACACCTGTGTAATAGTTAAAGTACACAGACACTTGGATTATGTAAAACATTTACAAATTTAAAGAACCTCATCAACCGTTAGATTTTATTTTACTATTTATGACACTTGAAGTTAAAGATGCTGTTGGCAGACATTGTTAAATTTCATTTGTTTCCTTTAGATCTTCTTAAGATCTATAGCTCAGGGTTCCCAGCAACTCTGGAGATCAGGGAAAACCTGGAAAATGATTCACTGAATTTGAGCACTGATCTGCAGATTTAAAAGATAATTATTCTGAGATTTGACGTGTACATGTCAAATGGGACGGCTGTGGAGGAGAGCAGTTGTCCTCCAATGTGAGAGTTGGGAGTTCGATTCCACCAGCTGTCACATGCTGAAGTGTCCCTGGGCAAGACACTGAACCCCTCATTGTCTCTGATGTGTGTCCCATCAGTGTATGAATGTGATAAAGCTCTGATTATTATTTGTATAGATCTAGTAGAGTGCTGTATGAATGGGTCAATGAGGGCACAAATTGTAAATAGCTTTGAGTATCTTCATAAGATAGAAAGGTGCTATAAGTACAGTCCATTTACCATTTACTTGTATTAATGTTAGTATTCTAGTATAAGTGAGTCCATGTTCTGCTTCTACAGTGTACGCAGCACATGTACCATCACTGATCGGCTGTGGTGGCATTTTAGTATCTGATGTTGTACAACATAATCTTCAGGGATGATAAAGTTCAAGTGAATTCTATTGTCATTACTATCTCATGTGGTACATGAGGTGGAACGAAATTATGTACACAGGGTCCCAGTTACACCCAAATGATGATGATGATGATGACTGATGGCTGAATGCACGTACAGGCTACAGTACAGTACAGTATACTTCCTGTCATGCTTGAACGTGACTCTGCCCACCACCTAAGATGAGCTCTGAGCATTTTACTTTACTGAAACATCTCCTGAAATTTCAGGATTTACTCAAGGAAAAATCAGGGAGTTTTGTTTTTAGGAAATGCTGGGAATCCAGTTTGTTAGGAAGATCTAAAGGAAAGAACACACACACATTATATATATATATATATATATATATATA